TTTTTTTTTTTTTTTTGCTTTTTAAGCATTTATCATTTATGTGGATGAAATGCTGATAGCCGTACGTACGAATCATGCTACAGCATAGATTTTACGGGAAGTCGGTGCCTTTCGGGGGGGGAGTCAAAAGACAGCGTATTCGAATTCCACGACGCTCGGTTACTTGAGCTCGACACAAGCGCTTGCGGATTACGCGACTTTGATTCTCGATCTTAAGAAGAATCTTACGGCCGAAAAATGTCCTGTTGTAGTCTTTGGAGGTTCTTATGGCGGAAGTACGTAGAAAAATATTTTATGTTATGAATAATTTAGCGTCTTTTAAAAGTTGAAATCGCGCTTCAACCCCAATTGTACCCTTGTTTGTGCAGTGTTGGCAGCATGGTTCAGACTGAAGTATCCTCATGTGGCTATAGGGGCTTTAGCATCCTCAGCTCCTATTCTAAATTTCGACAACATTACTTCGCCGTATAGTTTCAACGATGTCATCACCAAAGATTTTCGGGTCGGTCCTTTTCCTTTTATTTATTTTTTTCACTATAGTCCCTTCTTATTCTTTTACAAGAAAGTTATGATCTTTGCCTTCATGAGATTTGATTTTAGTTTTCCAAACAATTATAGAAATTCTCAGGAAGTCATTCAGAATATGCAAGTAAGAAAAAGGAAGAACTGCTATACATCTTCTAAATGCTTATTTTCATGGTATTGTATGTTGAAATATTAAAATTTATTAGTGGAGTAGCATAAATAATATTCTTGTTTAATTAATTCAAATTTTTCTAGTCTATCAAGTTCATTAGTCCTTTTACTGGTTTCATAGCAATTATATAAGTGCAGATTCTCTAGAAAGTTGGCTATCTACAGCTTACACTTATACAACCATGGCAGATTATCCAACTTCTAGCAATTTCCTCAATCCCATGCCTGCATATCCAATCAAGCAGGTACACACAAACTCTCTCGAATCCAGATTCGTGATCGTAAAATATTTCGTCACTTTCCGTTTTAATCGAATCATAAGATGGATACATCATACGAACGATACGAGTCGATAACCGAAACAAAACAGAACAAAAATTTAGGGTTCTATTTAAGTTTTTGGTGTCATATAGTTTAGGAGCTCACTTATTATGGAAATGCAGATGTGCAAAGCAATCGATGATGTAAAGACCAGGAACAACACATTTGAGAAAATATATCGTGCAGCTAGCGTCTACTACAACTACACTGGTCAAGCCAAGTGTTTTGACCTCAACGGCGGTTCAGGTCAACTCGGGGTCAATGGATGGTCATGGCAGGTATGATATTTTGAACTTTCTACCCAAAATTACAAGTTCTAGGTCAACGATTAAAACTCGTAAGCTAGCAACTATAAGTGCGAAACTAATTTATGAGCTATCAGTTTAACTCATCAGATATCATCTAGCGTTTTTCAGCAAGATTTGCCCAAGAATAAATTAGCTACACTATAGCGTTTGGGGAGCAACATAATTTTCTTTAATGGGCTGAGAGACCCATTGATGTAGAACGTGACGCGAAAAGGGAAGAACACGAGATACTCTCTTGATAGGAATACGATAAACTGTTTTCAGAATTCAATAATCTGCTCAATCCCTAGAAACATCTGTTATTTAATACTAAGAGTCCTATTCTAAAAAGGTATCTTGCCTAACATGGTGCAAGATATTTTATTTAAATAACCATCATAACTAGTAAAATATTAAAATAGGTAATACGAATAATCGAGCTACACTCGAAGCCTGTCATACTTGTCCAGAAAAGCAATCGCGGTCTCGACTCCATCATCCTCCCCCGGTTGGGAAGGATTCGGCCTCGAATCCGACTCGGTCTCGTCTCCACTCGAGTTGTCGCCCAAAAAAGGGACCAAGTGTTTGACGTTAAAAACGTCAGACGTACGCACATGCGAGGGAAGACGAAGACGATAGGCGTTGGGGTTTATCTTCTCAACAACCTCAACCGGCCCAATTTTCCGAGCAGAGAGCTTATTGTACTCGTGGGCCGTAAATCGATCCTTCGTCAACACGGCCCAAACAAAATCACCGACCTCAAATTCAACATTGCGCCGTCGCGTGTCCGCCCGAGCCTTATAGTCAACCGTCGTAGTCTCCAAACGGGCCCGAGCAGCCGCATGGGTCGCCCGTAAGTCCGCGACCAGGTCCGCAGCGCGTCGCTCAACGCCCACCGTCGATGGCAGCGACAATAAATCGGTCGGGCCCCTCGGCTGAACGGCATAGACAATCTGAAATGGGGAAAATCCAGTGGCTCGGCTCAATGCTGAGTTATGCGCGAACTCGGCCTGACTAAGGCGTTGGTCCCAACTGCGAAGGTTATCGCCCACTAAGCAATGGAGTAAATTTCCCAACAACCGGTTCACAACCTCTGTTTGTTCGTCCGTCTGAGGATGATAAGCACTGCTAAAATCCAGACGCGTGTTCGCCAAACGCCACAAACTACGCCAGAAATGGCTAAGGAAACGAGTATCTCGGTCCGAGACAATCGAAGACGGAAGACCATGTAAGCGATAAATCTCGCGAAAGAACAAGAGAGCCACATGGAGGGCATCGGTGGTGCGCTTGCATGGGACGAAGTGAACTATCTTCGAGAATCGATCGACGACCACAAATATGGAGTCAAATCCACGTTGTGTACGTGGCAAGCCAAGAACGAAATCCATACTCACCGCGCTCCACGGACGGTCGGGAATAGGAAGTGGTCGATATAGCCCGGCATTGGAAGCTACGCCCTTCGAAACATGGCACACGCGACAACGACTCACGTAACGGGCGACATCGCGCCGGAGCGACGGCCAAAAATAAGACCGACTAACCAGCTCAACCGAACGATCTCGCCCCACATGTCCGGCGCCATGGAGCTCCGCAATAAGCCGTGGGCGGAGGCTGCAGTCGGGAATACAAAGGCGCATGCCACGAAAAAGAAAACCGTCGCACAACGTGTAATCCTCAAAATGGCCAGTCCCGAGCCTACGAACAATCGGGCCAAAGAAAGAGTCGGCGGCGTAAAGCTCTCTTAACATGTCAAACCCGACGACCCCAACACGTAAATCCGTCAAAAACAGCGTGCGCCGGCTAAGAGCATCAGCAACCTTGTTCGATGCTCCCGAACGATGGCGTAGGACAAATGTGAATTGCTGTAAGAAAGTCGTCCACAAAGCATGGCAGGCAGAAATATTGGCCTGAGTGGCCAGATGTCGCAAAGCCTCATGGTCGGTGTATAAGATGAACTCCCGATGAAATAAGTAATGACGTCAGTGGTGAACAGCACGCACCACCGCGTAGAATTCGACATCGTAGGTACTGTACCGAATGCGCGGGCCCGATAATTTCTCGCTGAAATACGAGACCGGGCGACTGTCTTGGCTGAGAACCGCGCCAATCCCCACCTTGGAAGCATCACACGACAGTTCAAACGGTTTAGAAAAATCAGGCAACACAAGAATGGGAGCAGAAGTCAACTTACGCTTAACGAGGGCAAAAGCAGCCTCAGCCTCCTCGGTCCAAAAGAAAGACGGGCCCGTAAGGCAGTCAGTGATAGGGGCAGTGATCGTACTAAAGTGGAAAATAAACCGACGATATAACGAGGCAAGACCATGAAAACTCTGCGCCTCAGTGAAAGAAGTCGGGGTTGGCCACTCACGAATAGCCGAAACGTTGCTCTCATCCATGCGAATACCATCAGCAGCAATGACGAACCCCAAAAACAAAATAGAGTCCACCATGAAGGAACATTTATGAAGGGCGGCAAAAAAGGACTCTGCCCGTAGGACCATGAGGACGGAACGAACGTGCTGCAAATGCTCCTCCACCGATCTGCTGTAAATAAGAATGTCGTCGAAATACACGACGACACACCGGCCAATAAAATCGTGAAGGGACTGATTCATCACACGCATGAAAGTACCTGGGGCGTTGGAAAGCCCAAACGGCATCACCATCCACTCGAACAGCCCCTCCCGAATCTTGAAAGCCGTCTTCCACTCGTCTTCGGGTCGAATCCGAATCTGATGATAGCCACTACGGAGATCCAATTTGGTGAAAACGGTAGCACCATGGAGCTGATCAAGCAAATCATCGAGACGTGGAATCGGGAAACGATAGCGAACCGTAATCTTGTTAATCGCCCGACTATCCACACACATCCGCCAAGAAGCATCCTTTTTCGGAATGAGAAGTGCTGGAACAGCACACGGGCTCATACTCCGGCGCACCACCCCACGTTGGAGGAGTTCCTCCACCTGTCGGCGCAATTCCTCGTGCTCCATGGGACTCATCCGATAATGCGGCCTATTCGGCAAGGAGGCCCCGGGAACCAGGTCAATATTATGCTGAATGTCGCGAAGCAGGGGTAACCCGGAAGGAAGATCATCCAGAAAAACATCGGCAAACTTTGCTAATAAAGGTCGAATGGCCGTTGGCGCGGACTGCTCCACACTCGGGTCCATACCCAAAAATAAAAACACCACCAGAGAATCACGCATGGCCGTTGCAAAAGCACCACGAGAGAGAACAAGGATGGATGGTGGTGAAGTCGCTGGTGGCTGACAGCGTTGCAGACTGGGGACTAAAATAATCTTGACACCGTCGAAAGAAAAGGAATAGGTGTTCTGGCGGCCGTCGTGGATAGCCGAGGTATCGAACTGCCATGGACGGCCCAATAACAAATGACACGCATCCATCGGGACCATATCGCACCACACCTGGTCCCGATATTTAAACCCAACACAAAAAGAAACCAGAACCCACCGGCCCACTGTGATAGCGGTACCCTTTTGAATCCATGCGAGAGTATACGGTTGAGGATGAGGCTCAGTGGAGAGCTGCAACTTGTCCACTGCTTCCAGAGATATCACATTTTCACAAGATCGGGAGTCAATAATAAAACGACATACTTTATTACCTATCGTGCACGTCGACTCAAAGAGCTGATGTCGCTCCCCCGGTGCATCCGATGCTCCTCGTGGTACCAAACAAGAGCGCCATAGAACCAAAGACATCCCAATATCACCCGCCACATACTCCTCTACGACCCCCGGCTCGACATCATAAACTGGCGGTCCGTCATATGCCTCAGTCACACCCAAATCAGTCGGCTCGTCGGAAAAGAAAGCACGCGACCCGGACAACTTCGGGCAAACAGATTGGCGGTGTCTCACCTCACCGCAGCCGAAACACCGGAAGTTCGCCACGACCCGTGAGGCAGCCGCGGAAGGCTGCTGACCGCCGACCCCAACAGCGCGCTGACCACCTCCTCCGTCTGCAGACAAACGCCCTGCCCCCATGCCTGGACTGTAACTCCCAGCCGGAGCCGGAGCTGAACGAGGTTGGGGCGTAACCGATGCCATAGCTGCTCCTGGACGCGAAGAAGAAGCAAACGTCGAGTTGTATTTTTGTGCGGCCTAGACCTCCACAAGAAGTGCTCGTTGGTGAGCATCCGAAACCGACTCGGGCCTAAACAAATTAAGCATGTCACGAATCCCCGAACGTAATCCTCCCACGTACCTTGAGACCAATTGATTCTTCGTTTCACGTAAGTCAACACGAGTTAGGAGCCTCTGGAATTCTGTTGTATATTCACTCACCGACCGTGTCCCTTGACGTAAATTTTGCAGTTGTTGATACACAAGGCTATCATAATTGAACGGCACAAATTCACGTTCTACAAGCTCACGGAATTTGATCCACGAAGAAAGCGGTTGTTTGCCCTGACGATGCCGCAAACTGCTAAAATTCATCCACCACACAGCCGCTCAACCCCGAAAGCGCGTGGCGACCAAAGCTACACGCCGTTCTTCCGGGACCTCCTTGAAACCCAATGCTGCCTCAACCGCAGCCCACCAATCAATGAATTCAGACCCATCTACTCCACCGTCGAACTCGGGAATCTCCACACGAAACCCTTGTTCCCAACGTGACTCATCGCCCCCTTCTATCGGACGCCTGCCGTCACGTCGGTTCGGTACCCCACGGTCGTCTCCGTCACGATCCTCATCGTCAACGAAGTGACGACCATCATCATGAAACCCTGGGCGAAAAGGCCGCCAATCGCCGTCGTCATCCTCGAAGGCACGGACACGACCCAAGCATCCCTCGCGACGCCTGAAATCGCCGCCTCCGCCGCCTCGAGCAAAACGACCGCCGCCGTTATCCCTCTGCCGAAATACCTCGTCATTTGCCGGGCGCCGCCGCTGTCCTCCAGTGAACGGATTCTTCTCAATGACGGTCTCCTCATCGTCCTCCTCGCCAGACGGAGTCCATGGTGAACGCCG